GCTAGCGCTGACTATAATCGTAAATTTGTGGATATAAAGAAGAGGCTTTCCGAAAGTGGGGGTATATCATAAAAGAAGACGATTTTTGTCACTAAATGCTGCTGCTGATGATGATGCTGCTGCTGCCGAGCGTTGATATTAAGAAACCTGCGAGCAGCGAACAACCTCCAAAGAAGCGAGCGGAACCATAAAGTATATTTTTTATACGATCTCTTTCGGTTCCCTTGGTCTTTCTCTATAAAGTGGAGAGTATATAGTATATAGTGGTTACCTGCAGACTCCGCCGGGGTCCGGGAATGGTACAAAAATAATAGGAATTGGGAATGAACTCGCCGCCTCTTTGGTTTTCATTTTAATTTTTTTTTTCAACTGATGTCATCCCAAAACGCGTCGTTCTTCGGCTGCAAAAAATAAGAATTTATGACCAATTTTCTGCCGAATTATCCGCTCTTTTTTATATATATATTTCCAGCTCTATGCTTCTCCTCTGTAGTCATCCTGGCGATCTGCTGTCCTTTTCCAACGACGCACAATTGAATAACTTGTTTTTCCTTTTTCGACTTTTTTATGATTTATTTTTTGTATGTACTGAAGGTTAAGGACACGGACGACATCTTTACCTGACAGTATTAGAGTTATAAGAAAAGGATCTAATGCTGCCCGGTAAGATGTGAACAGATGTCCTTGCTAATTAGCAAGTTTTGGTATTCCATTAAATTTAACTGGTTTGGTTTTTTTTTTGTTATATATTTTATTTTTTTATAATCTCCTTTCTTTCCAGAGGAAGCTCAAAGTTCTCAAAGGCGCAGCATAGCAAGAAAACCTTGGAACATTGGCCCCCTTGGCGATAAGAAACTCTTTGCGAGTTTATTTTGTGTTTTCTTATTTTATTTTTTTGGTTTGTCGTTTTGTTTTCCGCTTTGTAAAATTTAATCCCATAACGGGTATTGATTTTTTTTCTCTCTCTGTGTTTTAAGTGGGTTGAAATTAAAACAAAAACAAAGCCAGGCTCCATTAGTTGTTTTTTTTCGTAATAGTAGTGTGCCCATGTGTGTATGTGTGTGCGTTACCCAACAAACTTTAACTTTGAACCAGGGCGCGTGATTTTCCGGGGGCGTGTTTCAAACGCCTGCTTTGACGCAGGAATAGTAATATGAAAAAACGTTGAACATGTTATTCATAATTAAATTGAAGCTGGCGCCATCCGATAAATGCAATTATTATTGTTACGCGAGATGCACACACATACACTCTTTGGCATACACACACTCTCTTTATCGTGTGCCTGTTATTATTCTTGATTTTTCTATATTTTATATTTTTTTTTTTTTTGGCCACCGGAAACATGCACAATAACGCCCGCACACACATGCAACGAAAAGAGCGGCGCAGTGAAGAGCGAACAAACCGTCACGATCGAGCACCAAAAAAGAATTGAAAGCTGCGGCGCCGGCGAGTTCCGCCGACGGCTGCGCTGCCCGCGTTCAGCGATGTGAATGAGGTTACGATGTTTCTCGGCGTGACACGAGCACGACAGCGACCACGTGTTTTTGAACATCAGTTAGTTCGATTCTTGAGGTTGAAAGGGGAAACAAATAATTATACTTTGGGAAACTTTTTTAAAATTAAGGTTAATTAGGAAACCTCAAAAGAAAATGGTGTTCTAAGATGATACATTTGGGTAACAATGAGTTCGAGGAAATATATTTTTTCAAGTATTTCTTTAAAAAAATATGAAATTTTTGTTAAAGAAATATAATTGAAATTGGAGTAAAATTTTTACTAAATATTTGATTTTAAGTCCCAAGATTGTAACCTACTGAAGTAAACTTCAATTGTAAACTAATCATGTTTGCAGCACGCGACCACCTCTAGCCGCGATCTTCTGCAACCGCTGACGTCGGCAGCGCTGCTTCAAACATGTTGCAACGAACGTGCTGTTGCTTCGCCACTTTTGCCGTTACGTTAACGTGTGATTTGATTTTTAACTGTGACACATTCCTTTGTCGCGTATGTACATAATGTAACGGTTTCTCGGTTTCCTTTTTCGCGCTCGGCTTTTGCTCTGCCACAGCGCTGCCCTTCTACGCACCTACAACTTATGCTTTCCCGCCTCTTTTTTACTTTTAGTGGCTTTCATTGATTAATTAAATTGAAATTGAGCCACGAAAATAGAGGGGCTCGAACATCTTAGAAGAGGAGAATGCCTTTCTTTTTTGATATATTTTACTTTTCTACAACTTTTTCTATGTTTGTATGTTTATACATTTGTATTTTGCAAGTTTATATTAAAATTATTTTAGAATACAAAGACGATATTTACGTTAATATAAAGAAAAACAAGTTAGCTAATATATAATGTACCACTTTATAAAGCCCACTATATGCATATTTTATGGAAGTAAAACCTATTAGATTAGTCTAGCCATCATTTGAGAGGTTATGTTATAATTTTAGATTTACCGTTAAGTACAAATTTAAATCGATTGACTATTTCTTAGAAATTTATATAAAACTTATTAAATTTCCTAACTTTTCCAGTTTACACATGAATTCAAAATTGGCGATAATGGTCGCCATATATATGCGTTCCCGATGGTTTTAACTTAACTAAAGATTTAGTGAAATATTTTTCTAAGATTAAGTTTATGCCTACTCTTTTGTTCTCCTTCTCGAAACACTAATCCCTTGGCATTTTACTTAGTTAATATTTTAAAGTTAGAAACCTAGTCTTTTCCTAAACTTTTTCAATAGTTTTTTCCCCTTAGCTTAACAGTACACCTGTTACCTTGGCGACATCGTTTCTCCTTTGGCCCTTTGCGATTATTAAATCATAACATGAAGTTTAGCTTCCGTCAACGATTACAGAACTCTTTGTGTCCTTTTTTTTGGTTGCGGCTTTCATTAACACATTTTATTTGGCATTGCCTAATTTTAATGTTAATCAATTGTGGAAAATTTTTTTAATTGCTTTAATATTTGGGCATACAAGCAAATCGGTGAGTCAGCGATTGACACACGTGTAAAAGTTCTGAAAGCTTGGCTTTAATTCGCACGTTTATTTCTTCTAAATAAATTTTAATCTTTTTCAAGCGAATTCAAGATGGGTGAATGATCGAGATTTGAATGGAAATCGAAGATCCGTTGGTGCCGGAAATGTGTGAAACACGCGTAAAGCCCGGTGGTAGGTGTTAAAAATATCGGTTGACTCCCGATCGCGTTGATCATACATACACTCGTCACGAATTGGAATTCATTAGAACTTATTTGGAATTTCTCTTAACACTTGACCGAGTTTTCGTATATGGTTGCACTTGTTCGCTTCTCTTGACTTTTGATTTCCTCAAGGGTTCAGGTTCGTTTTATTTTTCTTTGTTTTCTTGTAGGTTTATTTACTGACTTCTATTCTCTTTGTTTTATTTTTAATTTCTAATTTCTTGGAACTTTACGTCCATTGGCGCACGAGGCCGACGATCAACTGTATTCATAATATTAACGCTGAGATTCGGGGAAACTATATCTTCATTTTGCTCTGCCCCAACGTTCTGCCGGCGTTACGTTATATGTTCGACGGACCGCTAACAGACCGCTGTTAATTGGATGAGAGCGAACCTCAGATGAAAGACTTTTAGAATAAGTACAAAGGCTATATTGGAGGTTTTTGATTTTAGCTGCGTTACGTTGAAATGCCGGCAGCACGACGTCAAGCTTGTTGCATATCGCACAGCTGTTCCCCCGTTTCTCTCGGGCTCTCCCGCTCGCTCTTACACGTTTAGCGGACTCTCGTTATTTGTTGTCGCATTTCTATTAGCCGTCGTCGGCTGGTAGCGCCATCTTCCTCTAACTTACAGGTAGCTGGCTTGTTGTGCCTAATCCTGTTGGCATCTCACTTGCACCGAACATGTTGTAGCCGCATGGTTTTCGTTACTTTGTCACGTTGGCCGTTACGTGTGTTGTATGGTTACGTTACTCCTGGAAAAGACGTAAGCGAAGTGTGATTTTTTTTGTTGGCTATTATTATTTTTTTATTATGACAATATCTGGCTTGGTTTCTTTCTTGTTATTTATTTTATTTTTGGCGCATATTGTAATTTATTTTCTGCTTTACCCCCCCTTCTGACAGGCAGTCCCAAAAATGGACATGTTCACTCAATTAATAAAAGCAGCGCAGCGGCAGAGAAGTCGCTACCCTACACTAAAGAAAGGGATCTTCTTCGTTAGTTCGTTTCCTTGAACAATAGTAAGTGTGGAAAATATAGTTAAAGTATTTTTCCTTCAACCTTCGATTTTTCTATTTTATTAAATCTATGAATATTTTAAAGAAATGTACTTTTTGAAAAAACTTAATATTTGTATTTCTCATAATTTAAATGAGTCAAGTTACAAAGGGTTCACTGTACTCCTGTGGGAATTAAACTGTAAACCAAGACTCAGATGTTTAGGTTTGTATATAGTAATTATGTGCACATTGCCCACATCGTAGGGGTTTTTCAGTGTCAACTGCAGCCGCACTCACAAATTGTCTGGCCGAAAAAGCTTTCGGGGATTTCGGTGCTTCATTTCATTTTTTGTTTGGGGGTTATTCTTGTCTTTCCCGTTTAATGTAGGCACATCATGCCGAATCTTCTTTACTCAAGGATGCAGTGTTCTGGGGTAGGGAACGCGACCTACCTGATCAAGTCCAATCCCATGCCCATCAAACCCAACACACAAAAGAGGAACCCGCGAGAAGATCTGGTTTTCAATTTTTCTTGTAGTCGCTTTATAATTTTAAAATTTTTGTTCACTTGGGTTGAAGGACCCGACAGAAACCCTTTTCCTGTTTTTCGAGCCGATTTGTACGCCAGCGGCGGCTAATTAAAAAAGCCCAAAAAAAAGTTTAGCAAGGGGAACAAGCAACAATCGTATGAAAACCAGTAATTATGCCGGCAAAGATATCACTCCCGATCTCACATGTATGTGTGTATATGTGGGTCAGATTTGCGAGAAGACAAATGAAGTGCACATTGCCGTGTCATTTATTTTAGCCAAAAATTGAGCAAAGTCGAGGCTTTCAAAATTTATAAAAAATAATCTGAAAGTTTCTGAAAAACTTCAGCTTTCCAATTATTTTGTGCTGTCTTCGCCGAACTTAGATATTGGCGATCCACCGCCAAATTTAATATTTACGTTTCCTTCGAGAAAATCATATTCCTCAGGCTTGGTAGTGCTTCTCTTCCCTGCTTTTACCTTGGTCCGAGTTTCAGCTTTTTCTATTGTTGTAGGAGTAATAGCACTAGGGACAGCAGGTGCACGGGCTGCTGGTGGATCATCCGGTTTAGCAGCTGGATCCTCCGGTTGAGCAGCTGGATCCTCCGGTTTAGCAGCTGGATCCTCCGGTTTAGCAGCTGAACCACAGTCTATCCAGCTGGAACACATCCAGCAACATTCTGGGAAGTCTTTGTCAGTCAACATAGAAGTGTAAGCGCAATTCGCAAAGCTTACAGGGATCTGACAACTTAGAGGTATTATAATGTTGAAAAGGATTTTGAAAAATCCATTATTAGGAACAAAGAATAAATACAATTTGATTTCAAAAAGGATGATCAATATGATCAATACCTAAGTTGATATCCTAGTTTTATTTAACTAAAGTGAAAGACTTACTAGTGTATTAAAGCATCTCCTTCCTTATTCTGACACACTATTACTCCACAGGATTTATCATCCTGTACAAAATCACCTGGAAGAATCTCTTTGCCATCTTGAGTTTTGCAGCCTTTCTCTAAAAAGAATACCCAGATATCTATATACACCTTCGATGTAATATGTTGCTTGACATACCGGTCTTTTCCAGCTTTACGTAGTGCACCAGAGCACTAACCCTGGAGTAACTTATGATCCAGGCAATCGCTACCAGGAGGAACTTCATCTTTGTTGGAGTAATGGAGTAACTTTGGATGTGGCAATCCACGGACAGACCCCTTTATAGCCCCAATTAAGCGTTACCCGATACCTTTGCAGTCACACCTGCAGATTCTACTAAGAGTATCCAGAATTTAATATATAACGATGTTTATGTCGCGGGGTAAGGGTAAAATCATTGTTTATAAATGATATTACTATTTATTAATAAAAAACCAACCATTTAAAGGAAAGTATAAAAAATATATAATAAAACAAAAAAATGGTTAAATTTAGACTACTAAAACCTAAATGCATTTAAGAATATTTTTAGGAGACCTGAAAAGATAATTATCTTTGAAACTCGATATTAAAATATTTTGGAATATTAAAAAATATAAAAATTTGCTGGGCCAGCCCTCTGTTTGGCTTCCACTGCCGCACAGGCTGCTTTATAAGCTGCCTGCTTAGTCTGCTCGTAGTCTTCGTGGGCACTTTGAAATTGTTTTTCCAGTATGGCCGACCGATTGCGAGCAGCTTCCAGGAGCTGCGTCTTGGATGCCATTTCTTGCTGAGTTCCCAAAGCTAAATTCTGTATATTGGCCAGTGCCTCTCTGGCGGCCTTCTGCAACTCACTGATCGCCTCAAATTGCTGGGTGGCAAGTTTTACAGCATCCACTGCAGCATTCATATTGGCCTCCGTATGGTGAATCGAGTTGGTCTCCTCCTCCACAACAGCATTAGCTTCCTGGACCTCTTGTTCCAGTTGATCGACCATCATTTGTTTACCCATCAGAGCAGCCTCAGCAGCTTTTGCCGATTGAAAGGCCTTCTCCGCCAGCTCCATTTTTATGTGGTGGGCTGCCGCTTGTCCAGCTGCCGATTGCGCCTCACTGGCCGCCTTGGCATCCTGGGCAGCTTTCATGGCTATCATAGAGGTTTTTTGCTTGGGATCTCCGGGCGTGATGACAGTTTTAACATCGCATTTACCATTCGGATTGCATTCCGTATCGCCCTTTTCGATCTTTGTTTGAGAACCTGTTGTTGGACTTCCTCCTCCTGCAGTTTCGAAAAATGCCGATCTACCTTTACCTTTTGGTAAAACTGCAGTTCCGGTTCCGGTTATTCCAGCTGATCCTTTAATAGCTGCAAAATCATTCATTATATCATGCGGATTAACCATTCGTTTGTTCAGATGGCAATGTCTCTGCGGTTGAAGGATCATAAAACCAGTTGGAAAGTATGGAGTTCTAGGGGATCACTTGCCTTGATTACAATGTGACCGGTGGTACAGTGAAACAGCAGTCGGAGAAACAGCACGAACATAGCCAAAAATCCTCGCATTCGCATAAAGTTTGAAAGAGGATTTTATTTGATTTTCATGAAGAATTTTAGCTCAAAGCTGACTGATTTTCAAGTTTTTCTGATGAAATTACTCTGATCGTTACTTGCATGTTCCCGATATATAAGAATAAAATGATCAAATATGAACATTAGTCCAAAAAGTCACAATCTGATCTTCCAAAAAATCATCCCCAAGTCCTTCGAACTCCCCCGTTTGCCACCACTTAAGATCTGATCGTCTAGTCCATCGCCATCTCTCGCATCTCACCAGATACGGGGCTGCATTCTAAAGTGTCTGCGAGTGATGAGCACGCGGCATTTACAGACCCCGGACCATAACAAAAAAGACAAAAAAGAGAGAGAGAGATCACCGAATTGATCATATACATAGAGTGCGAGGAAAAAGGAAGGCACAAGGCAAAAGCAAAGCACGAGGTGGAAACAAACCATATAGACACGAATTGCCACAAAAATGCCAGCTATGCTAGAAGTAAATGCTAAAAACTAAAGGCGCAACGCAAACTGACGGCTAGACAGAGGTGGACACAAACGAATCCGGACGGACTGACTGATAGACGGACGGAAAACGGGAGACAATCTAGCGGACAGAAACGGACAAATCGACGGACAGTGGGCAAAAATAGTTTTTGGGAGCGCCATTTAAGAGGGAAAGCAAAAGTCTTGCGATGCCGCCGTTGTCTCCTAGACAAAATGTCAGAATCTTAAAAATAAAAGTTAAATGGAACGCCAAAAAAAACCTGTATACATTATCAAAGTTCAGATAAATAGAAAATACGGTTTTAATACTAGTTTTTATTTAAAATTAACTTAAGAAAATATAATTTTAATCGGCATCATAAACCTATTTACTAGTTTACATCTTTTATAATCTCTTAAACCCTTTACAAAGAACTAAATTAAAATCCATAAATACCCCAAAATATCATTAAAATGCCTCCTCGGAAAGATCAGCTCCAATTATAATCAGAATATAAATTTAATATATTTTTCTAGTACACGAATTAGTTGCATTTTCTAGTCCAAAGTTCAGCGGGGTTCAAGAATAGACTACACATCTCATTTCTCGATGAGATTCATGTGCTCAAAACATGCCCGTTTTTTTGGTCGAAAGGGAGGGGAAGGTGAAGGAAGGAAGATCGAAGGGTGTCAGAGATTAGAGGCTTCACTGTGTGGAAATGACTGGAAATACTGATAGCGATTTGATTGCATAAGTGAGTAGTTAGCCAGTGCCTGTCCAACTGTGTCAAATGGCACATAAAGATTCTGATTCTGTCGAATGAAAAATAATACCATCTTACATTTGGTGACTATTTGGGGGCTCGATAACATTCATCCCGAGGTCAGGTCCGACTGATAATCCACAGCAGATAATCGAAATCAAAATCCAGCACAAGCATATATTTTTAAAGACCCCATTAAAATAGAATTTCGAAATATGATTATGCGTTTTTAAAATTCAATTTGCTTATCGCCTCGAAAGTGAAGTACTGTTGCCTAGAGCACACAGTACTCTGCATGTCAAAGTTCATATTCCCCCACCCTCCATCATGGACATTTGACCCCTGCCAGTCCGCCGCTATCGACTGTCGAGATAATGAGCAATCTAATTGCCCTGATTAGACCGAATCGGGAGAACAGTTTCGGTTTTCAATGAAGTGAAACGAACAGTTCCGCAGCTGCGATTTCCAATGGATCCAATGGATTTCGGTGGATAAGATTGTTTAGGTCTTTGAATATGATACTTGTGGGCTAAATATCCTAATATTCTGTTTAGGAGATAAGAAAATACTAAAAAGTTACTTTGCATATTTAAAAATGAACTATTTTTCAGAATTTTCTTAACATTTTTTCTTACGTTCTGGGTGGTTTTAATTGATAAAAGCCGAATCACCTTAATTTCCCCTGTCAAGCGCAGTTACTTGTTCAGTTCAGTTTCCTACCTGTTCACATTTCTTGCCCATTATAATGCAATCAATATTCCTATAAGAAAACTCTCCAATTATATGATGTCACAGCGAATCTTGGACTCAACCTGCTGCGCCACCCAGTCAAGTTTGCTGGAACGAGATTCTCCTCAACAACTTCAACTTCAACTTCAACTTCAACTTTATTTCGATCTGCTTTATTTTATATCTCTTTCGCGCAAGTAACGGTCGGGTGACAAGCGTAACGAGATGGTCAGTAAAAGATGAGGATCGGGAACGGGATAGGGATGAGGATGAGGATGAGGTTGCTGGGGGAACCGATTTTAATTACACGTAATCTTTATAAATAGAAGCAGCAGGCAGGAGGCAATAACCGGCGAAGATCCTAGGCCATCCAATAAAAAAGTGCAGCACACGAAACCAAGTCGAATGTCGAATGCATAAATCAATAGGTGCACGGTAAAAAAAGTCTTGATAAATTAATAAATTTATAAAATAAATGTTTAATCCATTTTTTATTTTAATTTATTAATTTAAGTTAGCTAACTAACATGTCCATCTTAACTATATCTTTGTATCTTTTTAAGGGCTGAACTAAACTACTCTTAGTTTTCATGTTACATATTACATGCATAAAACTCTGATAAGCAGTTTATGGAATAATATTTTAGCAATCATTTTTCTTCAGTGCTGAACCTGTAGATGGCAATAAACACAGATACCAGCTCACACAGAAGCCGAGAGCGAGAAATGCCGGGACAGGCCATAAATGAGTAATTGCTGACAACGCAACAGACCTTGTCCAGTAGCCTTGGCTTGGGCCTACTTGGCCTCCATCTAAGATGGGTCCAGTGCCATTTTCTGCCTGGACAACAAACCATAAATGTACGCCTAGACAAACAAAACCCAAAAAGAACTAAGAACTAAAAGAGATCTAAGATCGAATAGTGTATACCTTAAATAGTTTTACAGAAAACTTGATTAAAGTTTATAAATAATATTTTTACTAGAATATAATCTATTTCTAAAGTTAAACATGTTTGCAATCTTGATTAAAAATTGATAAGGTGTTTCTAAAAACGGACAGTTAATTACTAATCAAGATTAATGCCTCTTTACAAAACGGAACTTATTAATTAATGGAAAATTTTAACTTATTTTGCTTAGCTAATTTATAATCCCAAGCAACAAAATGCCCATCAAAGTGCCAACAAACATGGAATAATCCCCCATAGAGGAGTGTATGCCAATGTAAACATGGTTGGAAGTGCTGGAAAAGATGAGTATGCCAGGTATTCAATTACATTGCCCATGTCCCCCACTTTTTGTCCCCGTCATGATTCCTCCTTCAGCTGCTTCACCTCCTCCATATCATCATCATCATCATTCCACAGCCAAACGAAAAGTTCTGCAGAAAAATACTTGGATTTATGGACTTTTTGGAGTCGGCTTCCAGGTAAAGATGCCACCAACTCCCAACTCCAAACTCCAACTCGAATGCATGCCTCTCTAACGGTTTGGGCATTGCGTTAATGATACTTATTTGTATCAGTATTTGTATTCATAGACGTATTCGTATCTGTATCTGGCTTTTGTCTGGTTCTGCGATGCACACGCCTCATGTTGACAAACTCACTTTACAAACACTAATTTTTCTCGCTTCATTGGCGTCCCGTCTCGTCTGGAAAACCTCTTCCCCCAACCCACTTCTGTTTGTATTTTCCGTGGTAAAAAGAAGCCTGTAAAGCGAGCATGCATGCGGTTTGTTGGCCGACTCAAGTCGGCTGCCACCGCCAGTTAAATAAATAGAAAATGAAAAGTACAACTAAAAATATTGTTCGAAAGCCGCAGTGGCGCGGCAAAAAGAAAAAAAAAGAAAAGAAATACAAAATAAAAATAATAATAATAATAATAATAATAATAATAAAAAAAGCTACTTGTACTCGTACTTGGCATTTTCATTGTCACTGACCGATTGTTCGATGTTTAACTTGCTTTACAGTTCGATAGTTTGATAGTTTGATAGTTTGATAGCTGGGTGCGGTCCACTTTATAAGAACACGAATTAAAAATGGGGATAAATAGAAATAACTTTGAAGTTGTTTTGAAATCTAAATATTTGTTTAACTTATTAATTCAAAATTTATAAAGTCAATAGGGGAAACAAAAAGAGAAGATATTTTCTTACTAAGAAAAACTGAAATAAGAGAAATGATTATTCCTTTTAAGCATTAGTTTGTTTATTTATTTTTCATTTAGTTCGTTTTTATTTGATTTTGTTTTGTATGAGAGTATGTCAGCCGAGGCGGCTGCAAAATCTAGAAAATTACATGCAAGCTGCGACACATTATGCGCGACGCGACAATAATATTTCTATTGGCGAAAGACTTCACACTTAATGTACTCTGCAAAGAGTCGCTAAATAAAGTTACAATGAACCACGAATTGTAGGATACTCTATAAAATAAGATATTTACATTAAATATTATGATATTTGGTAACAAAAGTCTAAGAAAGTTTACAGAAAAAGGTAGAAAATACTAAAATAAAAAGACAATCTTAGGATTTTCTTAATATGATTTGATAGTAACATTATTACTATAAATCTCACCTGTTTAAGATACATTTTTTTAGCTTTATCTTCTGTATTTATGTTAAACTTAGTCCAGTAGTTTTGGCATCAGGTCAGTCTGAAATATAACGAAATGAGATATTTATTTTTGAAGTTTTTAATGGCTTTTTGTCACTGTTCACAGATATATACTAAGATAAATCTTAATCTAATGTATATTATGGTTATAAAGCTAATATTGTGAAGCACTATTCCTAATTCTTAGATGTTCAAATATTAAATTTAGTTAATATAAACCCATTCCAGGGTCTTATATTCTTATAAAGAGAAAACAAAAATACCCTTTGAGAGAGTGTCAAAAGGAAAAAGGAACATAAAAAATATGGAGCAAACCAAAGTCTAACAGAGAAAACCTCGAAAGTAGTTGCATGTGTGGCACACCCCCGGGTTTTGGGTATACTCGAAGAATAAGAAGAAGAAGAAGAAGGGTGGGGCGTTGGCGGAGGAGGCTGTGCAGGAGAGGCGGGGCCAGCCAGCAGACGGAGACGCCGACTAGTCAACGCTTTAAGGAATATGCCAGCAAATAATTAAAACATATTTAAAAATAGTTCGCCATATGGATGACGACTGCGACGACGACGACGACGACGACGACGATGATGTTGAAGATGAGGCCCGGCTGGGTGACGTGGTCAGACCGCTCCCACCTCTGCTCCTTCATCATCGCCCACCCCCTTTTAGTAAAAACCCACCCACCCCACCGATGACAAAGCCAACATAAAAACAAAAAAGGCAAACAAATATTTGTCTGGCCGTCTACGTCGCTGTGCATTGACCGTACCGCACTTACTACAGACATGCAGATATGCGTACTGGCAGATGCATTTGCATCCTAACCAGCTATCTGGGTGCACCCAATCCCAAAAATCCCATCCATCCACTCTCTGTTGTTCTCGGTGCTAAGTTCTCTCTTCTCAGTTCTTCTTAGTTCTCCCTTGTGCCAAGTTCAAAATTGTATGCCTTGCACTTTCAGTTTTTAAGTTTTTTTTCGACCTTTTTCTTTTCTCTTAAAGTTTTTCCAAAGTAACAAAACGATAAAAAAATCAAATACATTTTCAATTTGTTTTTCGTTTTTTTTTGTCCAAAAATAGTTGCGCCAGCCGAGCGCTAATGTTATTGCTTTAGTCAAAGTGGCTAAAAAGTATCTGCCAACATGACTGTCTGTGTCTTGTATCTGTATCTGTATCTTTAGCTGTATCCGTATCTGAATCTGAGCATCCATGTCCAATTTTTCTGTTGCGATGCCGACGTTCAGATTTATTTAAAATTTTTGATTATATTTTTGGCACTTTTTTTTTTTTTTTTTTGGGCGTGCGAAAAAAACTTACAAATGAAAACTGTAATATTTTCGACAGCAAACAAATTCCCGCTGTCTGTGTAAAGTTTGTTGGATCATTTATAAAAAGATGCTGCGATTTGGTCTAAGCATTAGATGTTTTATTTTAGAAATAAACAATACAAAGTATAGGATAGTTCTTGGGATTCAAATTCTAAACATTTATGTTTGAGGAGGAAGAATTTCCACTAACTTTTATGGGGTCAAAATGCTGAACTTAATTTGCCTTCTAACTTACTTAGCTTCACTAGTTAATCAGTGTAGGAAATTAGCTATAATTTTATTATTAAATTTGCATTAAATAAGCTTGTTTAAAAAGTAAAATAATGTATATATCTACTTAAAATAAATTTAAAACTAAAAGTTTTCCACAAACTATCAATCAATAAAATCGAATAAAATACCAATACCAACTCACTTAGCTTCACTTCTCTAGTTAATCAATGTCAAATCAAGGCAGGAATACCTTCAGCTAATGCCATCGATCAAATATATGTACTTACTAGACGCTAAGTGAAAAACATACGCCCCACCCCACCCCATTAGAATCCGCACTTTGTTTTTCACTTTGGCGGAAATTCATTTTGAAAACATGCGGCGGCGACATTTGGCGCCACCTCAACTCAAAGCCCCCACCCAACCCCATTAGAAAAAAAGGGGCGTAGATGGAAAAGGGGTTGAAAGGGGTAAAGACAAGGGCTGCTGCTTTTCTGTATTCGCTAAGCGTACCGCAAATCACAGCACTGTGTAATGGTCAATAAATTACTTAGACAACGCAGAATTACAAATCGTTTTGATTAGCAATTAAAATGAAAAAAAAAATATAAAAAAAAATAAATAAAAACAAAGAGAAACAAAACCAGCTGAGTCGGTGAATAAAGCTGAATGCATCTGGTCCAGGTTGGCCGGGCAAATCTCTTAATTACTTGGCAGTTTGCACTCGTCGATGGCAACAGGTGCTCTGCGTTCGGCGCTTATTAACTCATTATAAAAGCATTTCATAGCCGTTCGATTTGCTTTTGCTGAAAAGCATTTCAATTGCCTCCGACACTCGCACATTTCGAAATGCGTGCTGGGAAGTTGTTGCTTTTGCTTTTTCTGTTGCTGTTTGTTTTTGCTTTTTCTGTTGCTTTTTCTGCCGGCAATGCTGCTGCCGTGTCCGGCTGCTGCGACCTTCAATTGCTCTGCCAGCGCAAAGGGTGACTCAGGCGGTCAAATCAAAAATAAAAAGAAATTTAAAAAATATTTTTTTTTATAAATTTAAGACTATTCTATGAAAATTTTTAATTAATGATCATTTTTTTAAAAACTAAATATTGCTAACAAAAATAAAAAATAAAAAATATGAAACATATAAAATAAATTGTCATTACCCTTTGATAAGATATTCCGACATGCTTTCTCTAGATTGGAATTAAAAAAATAACTTTTAAGTTTTTTTCATTTCTGTGAAACTTAATAATTATATTATTTTTAGCAGCTTTTAAGTGCTAAAACGAACTCTAAACTAACACTGATAACACAAATTAAAAGAAATCATTTAAATTTATTTAATTTTTAATCAGTTTCAAGTGGAATTTCACTTGTGGATTAACAGTAAATAATTTAAAGGTTTTTCTAAAGAAATCATACATTTTTTTAATGCTAAAAAAGCCAAATTAAAACTAAAAATGATAACAAAGAACCTCTCCTTTATCACAAAAACTCAAAAATAAAAAATGCATTAAATATAAAAGTTTCTTATTTAATCTTTAAGCCCATAAAATTCCTATCGCCATGAGTCACCTTTATATAAATTTCAGCTGCTCCGACTTCTTGATCTTCTGCCTTATACAAACACTTTGTGAGATGCAAATTTAATTTGCTAAATGATTTTGCCGGGTCGGGCTGATATCTGGGAAACTTGTTTTGCGTGAGTATGCAATTAATGCCCGTCAGCCGTATATTCCATCTATCATAATTTTATTTAGTTAATGAGAATATTCTCAGTGAGTGGATTTCTATATACTCGTATATATATATATATATATATATATAGCTGCGAGTTATGGCGATTCCACGCTTGTGTGGCAGATGCAAATGTCACAAAAGTCAGCCTAGTCATTGGGGCTTAAACGGAATGAGCTGTACTTGAGTCTTAGACTGTAACGGAAGGCATTCTTAAAAATTCCGTTGCTTAATTCCCGTAAATTGTGTAATGTACTCAATCGTTAAGACTGTTAATAATTCCAATGAAAATTCCTAAGGGAAATTCAACCCTAGAGGCTCCAATAACGCATCGATACTTCCGCAGCAAAGCAAAGAATTACAAAAAGGGAATTTAAATCAAATTAAAATAAAATCTCATATACAGAATGGTTCCCACCAACATTCTCAGATCCAAAAGTGTGGTTTATATAGCATATATATCACTAAGTTCGCACACAATGACCATTGAGCGATATGCGATACATTTTGTCATACATTTTGAGAGCGGGAGAAACTGCCGAGATCAGCTGATTCCCCAACGGATCCAACATGAATATGAATGGGGAGAACTTGATATGATATTTCGCCTTTAATTCCTTCACTTGAAAGTTGTCCATTGTCCGTCAATTGAGTCATCATCATTATCCGTACACCGAGCCCGATAATACACAACAAAAGCCTTTTCTCGGGGGCTAAGCTGTGGCAGTTATTGGATACACAAGCGGATATATAATACTCCCCTCCAGAACATTTTGAGGAGTAGTAGAGGGAGGAGAGGGTCGGGGACAGGAACTGACTTGCCCGACAAATGTTTCTCATAAACCACAATATGATATCTGCAAACAGAACATGAGAACTTGAACTTGAACGGCGAAACAAATGCGAGGGAAAAGTTTCTTATCAGCAGTATGCCATATACGATTTTACTTCTTGTAAGCAATAATAACCATATATTTATAGTAATCAATGTAATGGATAAGGTAAGGAGGTTTGCCTTAGTATGTTTGACTGCAATCTTGCATATATATAATCAGTAAAAAGTCGAAACAAGATTGATTAAATATATAAAGGTCTTTTTCAATTCTGAAAGTTCCACGCTTAAAGATATTTTCCTTTGATATGTTTTTTTTTGTTAACTTTAAATCTTCAGCATTGTTTAGTTAGTCAGTTAGTCAGTCTCTTTGTCCTAAACATTTCTAGTTTATTTCGGTCGCACCATCATGTTAACAGTTTTTAAGCTATACGTGATGTCCTTCCAATCTTTCCACATGATTCCAGCGGCACTGAGTTCCGGATCAGTGATGTTGCCACCCAAATAGGCACCATTCAGATTGCTAAAAGAGGTTAAAGTTAAGTGTCAAGAGATCTTAGGAATCAAACAAATCAGCATAAAACTTTACCTGTGAAGACAACTATAGTACCACCAAGCTCCATGAAACTTTGCAGCACAATTAAGGTGGCTCTGATCGTTATCCCTATCAAAAGTGCTGAAAGGTTCACTCAGATGATATCTTAGACTGTCTCCAGCATTTCCACTGTAGTTTCCCAGCTGTGTTAGCGTGTAGTTACTGTATGCATTGCCCACATTGAACAGATCATAGTGGGCATATCGCTTTTCTCCACTGAAATCCTCCAATTGAATGTAAAGCTCCTGGGGTTCAAGGGATGCAATCTTGTTCAGATTACGCAGACCAATGAAGAAGTTTCCCTTAAGGTCACCGAAACCCTCTTCATAGGAAGTCCAATTGCGGAAGAAGTTCGTATCCACACTAACCCTTCGTTGGATGACCAACCATCCTTTTCCAGCGATTGTTACATCACAATACACTTCGATTACATCACTACCAAGTTTGATCTTTTGGACACCACTCTTCTTGGGTTTCAACTCCTTGCAGGAGGAGGAGTACTTCTTAAATGTCTGTACTCCAACATTTTCATTTACTTCGGCACTGACCAAGTAAGCCAAACACAGGGAAAACACGGAGAGTAGTAGGAAAATGGCTTTCATTTTGCTGGCCTAAACTGACTATGACTACTGATTGCAAAAAACACTTCGTCTTATATCTGTTGATTTAGGCTGTTATCATATTTATTGGTATTGCTCATTTCCGAGAAATCTAAGAAGTCAATTGATAAAGCCCTTCTAGATTAAATCGTTTGGAGATCTGCCAGCAACTCAATTGGGTTATATAGATAAGAAGTTAAGGAAGTTAGTCATTTATTGTTTTGTGGACTTTTCTTGAGAATCTATTTATACTAATCTAGAAATTTTGTCACGGTAGTTAACCTAGGGTAAACCACGGAGATATTTTCGGGAGACTACACATATAATCTAATATTAAAAGTTTAGTTGTTATTTATAAATACTTTTTAATTGTTTTTATGTATAAACAATAACCCACTTTGGTCTTCTGAACAACGCTCCTTTTGGGGTTTTAATCCTTGCAGCATCAGTAATCTTAATCGATTTCATTTATATTTTTTTTAGAGTAAAAGGGTATATTAGATTCGTAATAAAGTGCGTAACAGGTAGAAGGAACCGTTTCCAACGGTATTAAGTATATATATTCTTGAACAGTATCAATAGCGAAGTCGATTAAGCCATGTCGGTCTGTCCGTCCGTCCGCCTGCCTGTCCGTATGAACGTATAAAAATCTTAGGAACTGTAAGAGCTAGAAAGTTAGGCTTAGGAATAGGAATTTTGAAATTTTGGAATTTTGGAGATGCCACTGGACCTCGACGTGATTTTCCATCCGGCCACGCCTACTCTAACGCCCACAAACCGCGGAAAACAGTGGCGTCCAGAATATTATAGTGGATGACTTCGTTTGACCTTGTATAGCTTTTTTTTGTCAATATCTATTAATTTACCAAAGATTTTTCGAATCGGAACAATATTTCACTATTTATGAAGAAATTTAGGTTATAGGGCGTCACTAACAGTTACTCAACATGCTTTCTCTGACAATAGGTGGCGCTTTGTGACTTTCCACTAGCAAACTGAATATTTTAAAATTGTGTAAGACAGTGACGGGTATCGTATAGTCGCGTCACTCGGCTATAGCCTTTCTTCTTGTTTTTTGTGGATTTTAACCTTCCTGCCCAAAACTCCATATCCTAAGATCTATTAATTCAAATCATCTTTAATTGTATATTTGTATAGGTAAGTTCTATATACTAGTTCTTGTTAAATGTATGTCTTAAGACAAGTTTTTTAATGTTTTATTATTTAGATAGTCTCTTTATCACAAACATTTATAGTTTATTTCGGTCGCACCATAATGTTAACAGTTTTTAGGCTATATGTGTAGCCCTTAAAAGCTCCCCAAATGATTCCAGCGGCAAAGAGTTCCGAATCACTGTATCCACCATCCAAATAGACACCATTCAGATTGCTAAAAGAGGTTAAAGTTAAATATCAAGAGTGTTTAGAAACCAAAAAAGAGAGCCTAAAACTTTACCTGTGAAGACAATCATTGTACCACCAAGCTCCACGGTACCTAGAAGCACAATTAAGTGTGCTGTTATCGTTGTCCCTATCAAAAGTGCTGAAGGACTGGTTAAGCTGATACCTTAGATCGTCTCCAGCATTTCCACTGTACTTTCCCAGCTGTATTAGCGAGTAGTTACTGTACACATTGCCCACATTGAAGAGATCATAGTGGGCATATCGCCTTTCTCCACTGAAATCCTCCAATTCAATATACAGCTCCTGGGGTTCAAGGGATGCAATCTTGTTCAGATTGCGCAGACCAATGAAGAAGTTTCCCTTGAGGTCACCGAAACCCTCTTCATAGGAAGTCCAATTGCGAAAGAAGTTCGTATCCACACTAACCCTTCGTTGGATGACCAACCATCCTTTTCCGGCGATTGTTACATCGCAATACACATCAATTTTATCATTACCAATTCGGATCTTCTGGACACCGCTCTTCTTCGGATTTAACTCCTTGCAGGAGGTTGAATACTTCTTAAATATTTGAGGCACAGCATTTTCAACTGCTTCGGCACTGGCCAAGTAAGCCAAGCACAGGGAAAACACGGAGAGTAGTAGGCAAATGGCTTTCATTTTGCTGGCTTCAAGTGACTATGACTTCTGATTGCAAAAAACAGTCATTTTTATAACAGTTGGTTTTTGCGCTTATCTTATTCTTTACTATCACTTTTAGATTAAATCGCTTGTCGGATCTTCTAGTAAATCAATTGGGTTATATAGATAAGAAGTTACTTGTAAGGCAGTTAGATATATATACTCCTAAAGAGAATATATGTAATCTAGAAATTCTGACATGGTAGTTAGCTTAGGGTAAACGACAGACCACAATGTTTCCAATATCAACAGTTTAATAGTTATTTATAAATATTGATATATTATTTTTATGAAAACTTGTATAAACCTCTAAACACATTATCCTTTGAACGCTGTAAATTTCTGCCAAAAGTAGGCTTTTTATATAAATTATTTTATCGTTATTAACTTTACTGCAGTTCTTAACTAAAATGTCTGCATTTGTATAATCTAAATCCTTTTGGCTTTCATTTATTAATGTAAATTAATCAATAAAACAAATATCAAAGGTATTAGCTTCTTATTCCTTGTTCTCATACAAGCTTTTACTGAGAATTGGAATACCTGTAAAGTTCTATTTCATAACAATCATAAACTTCTACATTTCTAAAACAAAAAGTTCTTCTTTAGAGATCGATTGCTGATATGGCCAGGCTATATCATATATATATAACATTGCAGACTCGGAAACACTTCGTTCGGAGCGTTAGACAAATATTTACGGAGAATCTATTGCCGGGAGGGCCACCCATTTCCTGTCTCTTGGCAGTTGGATGCACTTTGGACAAGTGTCAAAAGGTGTCACCGAAGGTGCTATTTGTTATTTTTCTTCATTCTTTATTCTTTTTTAGTTGTTTTTGGTTTTTGACAACTTTTGGAATAATGTGACAGGGCCTGTCGGCTACCAAAGTTGGCTTTTTGTCTCAGCACCGACGCCCAGGCACAGCAACTACCATACAGAGAGAGAGAGGGAGGAAGAGAGGTGACAACTCAAACGACAGCAGAAATAAGAGCCACCTACAAAGTGTACACAAATACCGTAGGTACTCCCACTCCTACTGCTTCCCCTACACCCCCCTTAACCTAAGCCAACTACCAACATTATGCCAAGCAACAAACAAACAAACAAATGAACAAATATTTGCCACAAAGAGCGAGGAAGACCAAACCCAAAAGAGGAAGACGACTGGGAGCCTGAAGAACGATAAAATGGCATTTATGATAAATACATAATACTCGATGTTTACCGACTCATTTGAGTAACATATAAACTACACTTAGAGAAAATAAGTTTATGTCAAAGTTAGGTTATTAAATTTATGGTTACTTAAGTTTTTATCTAGGAATAATGGGTATAAAGGTACTTCGAAGAAAGAAAATTCAAATAATTTCTGATCTAAATTGTTTTATATTTCATATCTTATATATATATTTTCTTTCAGTGCATGATAAATAGGCTATAGACGTGTTGTCTACGGCATTTGGCACAGCGCTGAAGAATGGAGGCGAATGGGAATGGGTTTTTGGAGTTGGGGAAGCCACAGAAAACACAGAAAAACAAGAACAGAATTCAAGTGTCAAAGTGACAGTTTTTTCAAATTGATTGCTGCAGTTGACAACTGTGTGTGTGTGCCTGTGTGTGTGGTTGTGTGCGTTTGGCTGATAAATAAGGCAGCTTTAAACCGACTTAACCGAGTGCCATTTGGGGTTATCTAATAGAGCCAGTGAGATAGACAGCCTAGATAGGATACCCCCCTCTATACCAACTCCATATCAATATCAACTTGTTTAGATGATTGACAGGCGACACGTGGTGGTCAGCTCCCCTGGAGTTCATACGCTTTCGATTATCGCGATCACGTCGTGGCACTGGCATAAGCGATACTTTTTGCCCCCTATTTACCCTATAAGATATACCATAGAGCATACCTAGCCCATTTCCAGTCCCAACGATGACAACAGAATATAAATTAGTACTGGAAAATTGCATAAATTCTTGGCATGCCTACGCGTATGAGAAATGAATCGATACCAATCAACCAGACTCATACCCATAACCCATAACCAATGCCCAAGTAAAGCCCAGGCAAAGACCAAAAATTATTGGTAGTACGGGACGCCGCCTGTCAAATATCGCCAAACAAATTGACAAGAGGGAGGGGAAGGGAGGAGTGCGGAACTAACGAACGTTACGACTGCCAGAGAACAGAAAAAATAAAGGAAATTTATAGTTCGAGTCCCCCCAACGAGAGCAAAAGGTGACCAAAAGGCTGCTCCAAACACCTGGGAACGTACAAGCCGAGCCGCAGCCCGAGCCCTGTGTAATGCATATAAAGAAAATGTGTTCTTAAATCGGAAATGAATTTATTAAATCGGTTGAATGTTGTTTAGAAATCTAACTATTAACATCTCATTAAAAATGTTAGCCTAAATTTTTAGTTTTAAGTTCATTGTAGAGAAAGAAAGGGCCTTTCAAGACCCAGGGCCAAAGACTCAAGAAATGTTTAAATTCTGAAATCTAAAAGAAATATAACTAACCACAAACCTGATTAAAATTACATGATAATATTATAGCAACCTATCTTAGAATTTCCTTCCACATTTTCTACAAAATTTTTTGGAGCAGTGCTGGGAGTAAATAAATGAAGTGCCATGTGAAAATATTTCACACGTGCTGGGGCAAGCAAAAAGCAAAAAAAAAATGGGTCTGTGGGCAAACAATTTGTGATTGTGGTGCTGGGTGCTTGGGCTAGCTGTTGGATTGCTGGATTGGCTGGACTGTTTAGTGGTTGTTGGGTTATTTGGTATCCATTAGATACAAATCGGCGGTGCTGTTGCGGTTCATTAATTCCGCGGCGTTTGACAAATGCAGCGCCAGGAAACGACAACCACAAAAACCAAGGCGACCGATTGGACTGATTTGAATACATCGCTGCCAACGTTGTGCGGGCCATTTGCATTTTTAAACGATTTTCTCATTTGGGTTCTTTGCTTGGGGTTTCTTCTTCTTTTTGAGTTTTTTTTTTTTTGGATTTTTTCTGCTTTGTTTTTCTTGCTTTTTAGAGAATTTCTTGTTACCGCTTCAATTATGTAAAGAGCGGTCGACATTTTATTTCGTTTGGGGTCGCCGGTTTGTCGTTTCTTCACATTTTGAAGCCACCGCACCAAAGTGGTGATAAGTGAGGGTATCGAGTAGTATCGAGTATATACTCATATAACTGCACATGTTCCTCCTTTTCTTTTTTGCTGGCCACGCCCCGTACATAATTCTCGAAGTGCCACAGAAAGTCAAGGGGGCTATTTATTTAAGGGGGGGCGGTTGTTTCGGCGGCCTGGATAGAGACCCCCAACACTTATGTGCCCGGCAATGTATGAAAATTAATGTTGGCAATCTGTAAAATCCTGTAAAGCGTAACTCAAACTCGCCACAGAGAAAAACACACGCGAATTAATAAGCAACGGGATGCCCAGCGATGGGAACTTGGTCAAAGATGAGGATCTTCTGGGCCTTCTTGCTTAAGATTTTTCATAATAAAGATTATCTTAAAAAGTATCTTTGAAGTAAACTGACTGTTATTAATGATTTTTAGGACCATTTTATTAAAGTTGTGATATAAATTTTAGTCATTATATTGCAATTTTTATTAAGTTACTTGACTATCATAAATTTGAATATATTTTTTATCATAAAATATTTAAATAAAAATGCCACTATCGTTTTCTAAATTAGTTAATTTAATCTATCTTATCTAAAGCCATAAACATATCCCATTAAAATGCCATCGCTAGACGGAAAATGCCAAAAGCAGTTCTTGTTTTATTAATTTATTTTTGTTTGTTGCTAGGCATTAAGTCAATTACAAAGTTTTATTTTTATTTTTGCGAAATTTATAAAAACCAGCGAGCTACGATTAGGAATAGAACCGAAGTTTTTATACACCCTAAAAATAAGTTTTTGAAGGAGAACTCAAATTAAAGAAGGTTGGTTTTTTAATATATTATTAAATATTATTTAATTTCTCAGAATTAAGTTCGAAATAGTGAAAGTTTAAGATACTTTTGTCATTAAAGAGAGTGCATTACCACTTCGTTGTTAGCCAGCCAAATGAATTTTGTTGAAAATTTTAATTAAAATTGTGGCCGCGGAAATTTTGTGCGCGCTTCGTTGTGGAAGGAAATCCCGTTCCATCGTTCTCCTGGCTGGCTGGCCCCAACGTTGCACCACCCCTGATTACCTCCCCCCGTATGTAGGCCTATACTATGGCTGTTGCAAGTTGCATGTTGCATGTGTTGCAGGTTTTACAAGACGGGCGACATCGCTTGTTCAACATGCCTGTTTCTCCTTTTCCTCATCGCGCACCAACACTCGCATCCCAACGAAATGATCGACGACGTTGCAAAGTATTAAAGTCAGCGCGACACAATCTGCATATTAAAGGAAAATGAAAAAAAATATACAGCAACAGCAACTTGTTGCACAAATACCAAAGACTGCAGTCTGAAGGTGCAGTGGTACTTCGAGAAATGGTACAACAAATATTTATGATTAAAATTTAAATTTATATTGACTGAGGAGAGATTTATGACATGAGTTTAAGAGATTTTTAAACTAAGTTTAGGAAGATTATATTCTGAAATTTTCAGAAATATGAACTTAACTTTGTTTAAGATTCGGAAATTTTACAGAACCTTAAAAAGTTAACCTTAATTACTTTTATTGCTTCCTTGCTTTCTTTATATTTCAAAAATTAGCCTACTAATAAAATCTCATCTATCGACTTTCACCTGTACCTGCGCACATGCAGAAATTAATACACGCCTGACGGGCTCACAATCAAATGAAACGGCCACTACGAACCGGCCAAGACTGGACGGGATTGAATGAACAGAGAGGATCTTGGAGAGGAGATGAAGAAGGAGAAGTGAACTGGACCCGGCCCAAACCGCTTGCAGGTGTTTGGCCCGGCCTAGAGAACCGGAAGAGACTGGCCTGGAGACAGGACATTGCTCTCCGTTGCCCCAGCTGATTGGATTAGCTGTGAATTGTGCCAATTCATGCTGCAAGACATTTCATAAGCATTTCATTTGGTTTTATTTTTTTTCTCCTCTTTTTTTCTTTATTTTCCGTTTGCTTACCACGTCTCATATGCATTCTGCTGAACTTTTGCCACAACTTCCGCTGCGGACGACGCAGAGACAAATTCAAATTAAATGTTGCATATGTAACATATGCACAAGTACCCTACTCCCCTTCTCTACTAACGAAATTTATTGATAGGCTTTTGGGAGGCCA